TGGATGGATGACTAGCAATGATGAATTCGTACCGGAAACGGGAATCTAATCTCTTTATTGAAAATTTGAGAAGTCATCAACTACCTCAATACGTGAATTCTGTTCGGCTCTTCGTGACTTGTCTAATGCAACTGCCACTGTAGAATTCCGATTTCATAAACGAACAGAAGGGTGCCTGTTTGTCTTGCCTCACGTGAGTGGCTCTTGGCTAGCTCAAGCTCAGATAGCAATGCGTCAGCTATGAAATTTGTTAGCTTTCTGTTAACAGCATTCCTCAGCTATTCTTGCTGCTTTTTCCCAGTCGTTAGGGTGGAAACATTTTGGGGGCAAGCTCTCAAGCCATAACGTAAAACTCAAGTGCATTCTACTGCTTTGTATAACTCGGGCTTACTGAACTTGTTGATGCACTTCAGTTGGTCCAGTTCATATTTTTCGTTCGATCCTGTTGAAGACATCTTTCTCGTATAGAATTTGCATAATGTTATTTATCCCTATAATGTTTTTGCAGTTTTGTAAAAAAAAGTCGTCAAAAGTTGTTATCTTCCCCGGTAATCTACCCGAGACGGCAGTGCTGAGGCATCCAAGAACGTTTGTTCCTTAAGATGTGTAATGGACACACTGGCACTTGTAAAAAAACTTCTTACTGATGGGCGTGGAATGCAAGACGAACAATAATTCAAACAGCGCACGGGACGTGTTTAGTTAACGCTGAAATAGCCAAGTGTGTTCTGAGATAGCGCATGCCAGCTATTGAAGGAATACTTTTGTACTTGCGTTTGACTTATTCACACTACAAGAATTCAGGTTTTCGTAACCTGTAGAATCAATCATTTTAAGACGATGTCATGTTTTCACGCTGACAATCCATAACATGAGAAACAGTGTAATTTAATTAAGTGTGCTACCTACAATTCCTCGGGTATGGCAGAACCTCACCTTTGGACACCTCCTTAGTCGATGATGTTGCATAATTTGCTCTCACAAGAACCCATCGGACTGTGTTCCCACCAAAGCGAAATAAACGCTTGGCCCAATTTCTACCAGCCGTTCCCCACTAACCCAAGAAGAGTGCATGAGCCAAGTTTTTGTATTATCACCTACTGTTACTTGGTTGGCGTGATTATGTTGACAAAATTATAATCCGTGTGATCTGCTTTTTATACGATGTGACTTCAGTTCAAACATTGCCAGTTCACATATCGGGAGGTAAGGGCTTGTTATCGCTCGCCTAAGCGTAGTTAGCGATGAATTAATAAAACTGATTATGTGAAGACGTCAACTGTTGTTGGACAGGGTCGCAAAGAAGTTAACCTACTGCCTCAGTGTCAGGTAACTTACAGGATGGAAAACAAGTATTTTCATGAAGATACAGAAAAATATGTGTTAAGTTCATAACCACACCTACCTGCGTAAAACTGCGGCTGTTCATCGACACTCGCTGTGGCTGTGTAGCTGGATGACATTGGAAATTCTGTAGTGTATTTTGCTCCTGTGGAATTCAAATGAAGCTGAGCTTTTTCTACTCCATTTATACTAGCATTGGTAGTTGAATGTGGGTTCCTACAAGCAGTAGAGCGCCTGGATCTTCGTAGAACAAAACAAATCGAGGACAGTAGTAGAATAGAGACGACGGTGGATGCGGCGACAATCGCAATGAGGATGTACATATTGAATCGGTGGCCAGTGGATCCAGCATCCACCAGACCAGATAGACTGTACAAATTGTGGCCCACAAGGCCTTTTGGAGCAATGTCTTCTATCCCAACTATCAGCTGGCTGAACGATGACCTGCTTGGTTGCCCACAGTCCCGGGCTTCCACTTCCAAGGAGTAGTCTCCGAGAGCTTGCAATGAAAGCTCACGCGTTAACTGCAACGCTCCAGTAAACTGATCCAACTTGAAGTAGTTAGCAGTATTGCCCGAGTTGATGTGGTAGCGAACCGTGCCATTTTCACCAGCATCCAGATCAATAGCATAGACCTAGAAATGAAGACATCGGAAAATTAAGTTGCATCATAGATTTAAGTGTCACTTGGAATCCTGAAGTTTTAAAGCGATCGCTCTGCGGTGGCCAACAGCCTGACATGTATGCGGCCGTGTGACCAACCATGACAAAATCAAACTTGTACGGCAGTGAATCATTGGAGTTGAACCCTGATGTCATGCTGTCGATGATGATGAGCTACTTTGGTAGATTACAGTGCAATAAGAGCTAATATCTCGTTTCAGATCAAAGTAATGTAGTCCATGCAGATCTATCAGACCACATAGTATCGCCCGGAGTCTGCCATTAAACAGCTACATCGTAACAGTGTACACCCCAGCCGTCCATAAAGCTTCGGGTACCTCCAAGGAAAGTATCAATACTGGACGTAAGAAAGGAACCATCTAATGAGTGTTACAATTGTGGATTCTTTTTATGTAACCTTCGAATTTTTTCATCCCACCTCGTGGATAGATACACACACGAATACTGAACATCGCTTCGCTGGTCTTCAATTCACGTTGAAGAGAACTTGTTTAGGCATGGTTCCATCGAGTAAGTAAAAAACGCAATCACCAACATGCAATAGACTTGCCTCATTCAAATTCAGTTGTACGAAATCTAAAGCCATTATCATTTGCATCACCTCAGAAAGTCCTGTTTCCGTAACTTGGGAGAAATTATGTTCCATTGCATTACTGAAACCTCTTGTACGTTGATGGAAATGTCGAACATTAGATTTCAAGCAGTGGTAAGCAGCAGAATGATAGTGCACGAAAATCGAGTTATTTTGATGTGTCGTAAGACCAACAATATCCACAAAGGGAAATGCAAAAAAGGTATATGCCTATTTGGGAATTCGGCTGCCAAGGTGCCTCATGATACTGTCGCTACCTGCAGCTGGAAAGACAGAGGATCTCAGAAGCAGTTGGACAAATTAGCGCACGCCACAATCTCATGTTACAGTAAACAGCGGAACCAGGGACAATACCGACAAACATACCGAATAATGCGTCCAACGATCGAAAAGCGAACATTGGATCTCATCAATAGTGATTTCCAGGTAAGCGGCAATTTCATCACGGTCTGCCTATTGCCTTGTTGCAATGAACAGCCAACCGTGACAGTCAGCCCACTCGTTATTCATGATGCATAGAGCCGTTAGAAAGTCGGTGCTAATGCAGCAGATTTGCCGGAAGTAGGCGTCGCACTCAAAACAAATATTTAGAAACAAGGGAAGATTAAGAAATTCGCCAGCGGTATTCCGATTTCCATAGATGTGTGGCATCAACCCTCGGTGGCCATCTGGTACACCTTATATGTTGCCAACTTGCCCATGAGGGTAAATGGAGATTATATCAAAACAACGAACAGAAAGGAAGAACGCTAGCATGCTTTTTTCACTCCGAATGTGAAGTCGAATACTCAAAAGTGGTGTTAAATTAACGCCTTCACATCTGGTGGTGACCATTGGTTTCTTGAGGATTATAGCCCTTCATTTATAGCTCGTATGTGGCACAACTTCTTGTGATTTGTTTTTTGCAGAAATATTTTGACACGGTATTTGGTGATGAAGTGTCACTAGAGTGGTCACTATAATCGTTAAAAGGCATGGGTCAATAAACCACATGAAAAATGATAAATTCTAACCTGATAAGAGCCTAGGCGAGATTTCAATCGGCAGATCTAGGGTGGTAGGTTAGCCAACCTAACTAGAAGAAACAATGCACTGGTAATCGATTTGGACATGCAGGTGTTGGACTTCTTACGGGATAAATGTGTATAATTGCGCGACAATCTGGAAACAATCAATGTTTGTTGCGTGAGATGGAAAATGACTTTTGAGGTTTTGGGCTGGTGGATTTTCGAGGCACCGGAGCTCAGCTAAATCGTAGAAATAGGTGGAGAATTTATTTTGACAAAAAAAACGTCACCGACCTTGTCTTTGGCCTGACTGCACTAAGCAGGTGAATGCATCAGGATCGGCCACTCCTTAGTTGAGAAATCGTGCCAGCCGGATTAATGAGTCGCTAATGCCTAATTGGTAATAAAAAGGACGTCATGAAATTTGCAGCAGAGGCGAAACTGCTTACTAAGACTTTGCAGGTCCCGGTTGATTGTGCATTCATTAAAAAGGAACAAATCCGTCGCATTGATAACGCAAAAAGACCCAATCCTCTTCCAAATCCTATTGTGATCATCGGTGACCTCAGAATACTGAAGGGATGAATGTGGCCGGATGGAGTGGAAGCCCAATAAAACCATTAAAAAGGGCTTTCTGTGAAAGAGAACCTATACAAGCAAACGCAATGTCTACAAATCTAATCGCCTTTTGAGGAGCGACTTCAATGGAACTCTGTCCACAGTAATTCAGTTCTCCACATTCTGTTATCCAAAGACCGCTCCCGGTACAAGCCACAATCCTCGTTCACGGCATTACACTGTTTTTGGCATGTTAGTGTAAGTATTTGAAACAGATTATCAAAATTTGCTTTTATTCACTGCCGTTACAACATTACAGAATTTGTGTTCAACCTGATGTGTAGAATCTAAAGCTACCACATTTTTCTCAATGATAGACGCTGGTATTCTTTCCACTTCCTGGATTGACGGAGACAAAGTGTCGTCTCCAATTTATTAAACCGGAAAACTTGATGAACGGGCATGCCAACTGTGGCCTTTTGAGCGTCATTCAAATGTTTCGTCAAATACTATTTCGGACCTAATTCTATTAACCTTTGGGCGACCACAAGTTGTCGAGTAAATCTTGATCTTTCGGAAGCACAGCATATCCAGCCGTCAGGTTTGCAGTTATTCCTTAAGGAAAGCATGGGATATTTTTTAATTTTTTGTTTCCGGTGAGAGAAACTTTAATCCGGAAAGGTGATGCAAATTTTGGGGAAGAGGTAGCCCGTAAAATTCCATGGAAACACTAAGGAACCACTCGGTAATTTCCACCCCTAGTCACCATTTCCCGAAACCGGTATCCCTACAAGGGGACATTTGCATCCTACTCATTCTCTATAAAAAATTATAAGGTTTTTTGCCGACACCAAAATCCGTCATGGTAGTTGGCGGTAGCCTCTGGAGTAACCTCTGGTAAAAGTGCCACTTTCATATTACTTTGCCAGCAGAGTTGTTAACTACATCCAGCGCGATAGAGCGATGGTGTAGGCGAACAAATCCAACAAGATCCCTAACTTGTTGTGTGTATAAACAACCCGGTGTAATTTTAAAAATCTTGATTACGCTTTTCGCTAACATCCGTACTCGTATTACTTAAGAGCGAAAAATCATAATCATTGCTCGTAATCAGAGTCACTTGGAGAAGTGCCTAAATTACTGAAAACTCCTTTATGGGTCGTTTGAAATTCTGTGACCAAACCTGAAAGAACATTCTGGTCAAGATATCCCGAGATAGAACCCTCTCAACGCAAATGACTTCGGGTTGAATATATTATTTTAGTTGTTGAGAACCTGTTGTTGTCAGAGTCTTCATTTTTCGTTTGAAGAAAATGCCATCCGCTTTTTCAGTTTTTCGCTACCGTTCGGTAATCTATGGTCTTCCTGGAAGCAAGCCTAACTGATCTATGAGGACCCGATGTTACATAATACTAAACATGTTGTAATAAAGGCAGTCTAATATATTCCGCGTTACCCAATTCCTGTCGAGTGAGAATAAACAAGTTCGACCAAATGACATGTTATTTGTAGCGGAAACAGAAAGTCGTATGGTCATCGAATGCAGTTCCGCTTTGTGTACTCAAATGAAGTGAGGAAATTATATATAAAGCATTACTAAGCAAATAAAAACCATTCCACTACTCGTCATTGTGTTCTCATGAGATAATGCCGGTAACACAGCTGCTCATACAAGGAACGTTTTTACAGTCACCTTAGCTTTATTAGGGGGTGACTGCAGATTTACCGCGGCTGTCCTCATTCGAGTTTCTCAGTACATATTTACTACGACGGGACTAGTTGAAAGTACTCTAAGATGAATAAGTATATCATAGAGGGACAGACGTATCTCATCCAACAGTACGTCGTGACTGTAGGCATTGCTGTGAAATATAATGTACACAAAGGGTCCAAAAGTGAGTGCAGATTTCGACCCTGAAAATTACTTAGTTTGGCTGCCTTAATTATTTTCCAATTTCGTTCAGGCCTCCGTTGTGGAAAATTACAAGTGAATAGAAACAAAGCAGAATGACTGGCGACCTTTTTCGCAAAGTTATGTTTAAAAATTTGGCTCAGAAAACCGTAAGCACGTCCTAAAGTCTACTTACAGGAATTACTTAGTTCTCACTGTCTACCCATTTTAACAAAACCGCCTTCCGAATGCGGGTTACTGACCCACTGACTGACTGCCCAAAGCATGTCTAAACTCAGAGCTATTGCCTAAGGAAAATTTTGTAAAATATCGTGTGAATCATTGCAAGCAGACAGCTGTTGTGGTCGAATTTTGATCACACAGTGAGAATGAAAACTGCTGATGGTTCCCACAACTTTCAAACGTAACTGAATAAAAAACCTCTCTTCGTTCATGTCCGTTCTTTTCCCTTTCGATGCTTGCTTGCCACACAAAACGTGCCACCTAAATACACTGAGCCTTATGCAATCCTGTGCATGACTCGGAGATCATGAAAGATACTTACCAAATTTAACGAGATTTCTTCTCTGGACAGTTACTCTGTCTGGTGATGTTATCTTTCGTGCCTAAAACACCCTTTCGTAGAGCGATTTTCGGCTTAGACATTCCTTTCCAAAAACTCCACAAGGTTGAACCATAGTGGAACGAAAGAGTGGCAATGAAGAGGTTAAATGTCTCTGGGAGACAAGCTGGAAAAACTTTCTAAGAATAAAGTAGAGGGCTATGCTGTGAAAACATCGCTGAATTTTGACCTTGTGTTATCATTTTCAGTGTATTTATTTTTAAATTGCCTGATCATATCGCTTAACTAGCCTGTCTGTACGCGTCTGGTCTGCAAGGCAC